AAAAAAAAAAAGTGATCCAATGTAATGTGGACCTTATTAAACAATGTAATTAATATCACTTGCAAGTAGAATTATGCTGAAGATAATTCATGCCAGATTCAGAAGAGCATGTGGAACTGGGATATCATTATTAATGTAAGATGGATTTTGTTTGAAGTCAGAGAATGCCAGGAAAATTGCTACCAGTGATTTACTGATTATTTAAAGACATTTCACTGTGTAGAGCATAACTGATTAGGATAACATTTGGGAAAATGGGTATTCCAAAACACTGAATTATACAGAACCTGTCATTAGACCAAGAGGTAGTAGTTTAAACAGAACAAGTAGATATTGTGTGGTTTTAAATCAGGAAAGGTGTCAGGGTGGTATCCTTTCACTCACCATACTTATCCTATCTCTATGATGAGCAAATAATCAGAGAAGTTGGACTGTATGGAGAAGAACACGGCATTAGGATTGGAGGAAGACTAATTAACAATCTGAGATGTGCAGATGACCCAGCTTCCTTGTTAAAAGTGAACAGGACTTCAAGCATTCATTGATGAAGATCAAAGATTTCACAACCTTCAGTAGGTGTTACATCTTAACATAAAACAAAAATCCTCACAACTAGACCAATAAGAAACATGATGATAAATGGAGAACATATTGAAGTTGTCAAGGCTTCCATTATACTTGCATACATAATTAACACCCATGAAATCAAATGACATATTAAGTCTGCTGTTAAAGACATCTTTAAAATGCTAAAGAGCAAAAATGTCACCTGGAGGACTACAGTGAGCTTGACACAAGCCATAGTATTTTCAATTACCTCATGTGCACGAGAAAACTGTACAATGAACAAAGGAAGACCAAAGAAGAACTGATGCGTTTGAACTGTGATGATGAGGAGGAATACTGACTATATGAGTACCATAGACAGTCAGAAGAATAAACAAATCTGTCTGGAAAATGTAGAGTAAGAATATTCCTTAAAGTGAAGACGGCAAAACTGCATCTCATGGAACATGTTATCTGGAGGGACACATTATCTCCAGGCTTTGGAATAGGAAATTAAATGTAATGTAGTAAAGTAGATGGTCTGTGAAAAAAGAAGAAGACCAACACAGTGGCTACAATGAGCTCAAGTATAGTAACAACTGTGAGGATGATACAGGGCCTAGCAGTGTTTGTTCTGTTGTTGACACAGGGTCATTTGGAATCAGAACTTAACAAACAACTCCACAATACCTAACAACAATCTTGAAAAGTTGAAGACAAAATTAAGTAGCACTAGTAAGTTCCTCCACCATTGTCTATCAGGTTGTTTTACTATGGTGGCTTGTGTGTTGCTGCGATGCTGGAAGTTATGCCAACGGTGCTATAAATACCAGGGTCACCCATGGTTGACAGGTTTCAACAGAGCTTCCAGACTAAGACAGACTAGTAAGAAGAAGAGGCCAACTGCTTGTGAATGGCTAGCTAATGAAAATTTTATGAATAGCAGCAGGAACACTGTGTGATATAGTGTTGAATGGTGAGGCCCTCACGTTGGAAGGCACTCAAAATATGACTAGGGAAGAGCTGCTGCATCAAAATAGAGTTGATCTTAATTATGTGGATGGAGCAAAACTTTTTTTAGGGGAACAACAAACTTCATTTGTTGATGAAGCACAACTCAAAATAAGAAGAAACAGCTGCAAACACCCATTAGTAATTGGAACATGGAAAATATGAAATAAGAATCTAAGAAAATTGGAAGTCATCAAAAGTTAAATGGAATGCATAATGATAGATATCCTAGGCATTAGTGAGCAGAAATGGACTGGTGTTGACTATTTTGAATCAATCAAATGGTTTACTCTGCTGAGAACAACAAATTTAAAAGGAGTGGCATCACATTCATTGTCAAAAAGAGTATTTCAAGATCTATCTTGAAGTACAATGCTGCCTGTGCAATAATAAGCACTAGATTTCTAACCACAAGGTTGGCAGTTCAAACACACCAGTTGCTCCTTGGAACCCTATGCAGGACCATATGAATCATAACAGACTCTACAGCCAACTGTACTGCATCAAACAACAAGTAAGTCCCTGACTTCAGTGAAAGGCAAAATGCCAAAGATGATTATTTCCATGTGCACCACCAACAAAAAGGATTAAAAAATAAGTCAGAAAGTTTGATAAATTTTGTGGCCCTATATAAGTGAAAAGGCTTTGGATTGTTTGGATCATGACAATCTATGGACAACATTGAGAAGTATGAGTATTCCTGAACACATAATTGTGCTCATGAGGAATCTGTACCTGGACCAAGAGGCAATTGTTTGAACAGAACATGGGAACATTGAATGGTTTAAAATTAAGAAAGGTATATGACTGGGTTGTATTCTTTCACCATACTTATTCAACCTGTATGCAGAGCAAATCGTCCGAGAATCTGGGTTATATGAAGTAAAATGTGGCATCAGGATTGGAGGAAGACTCATTAACAACTTGTGATATGCAGATGATACAACTTTGCTTGCTGAAAGTGAAGAGGACATAAAGCATTTACTGATAAAGATCAAAGAGCACAGCCTTCAGTATGGATTGCACCTCAATGTAGTATTGAAAGTGCCATGGGCTGCCTAAAGAACCAATAGATCCATTTTGGAAGAAGTGCAGCCAGAGTGCTCCTTGGAGGCCAAGATGTCCAAACTCCGTCTCTCATACTTCAGACATATTGTCAGGAGGGACCTTTCGCTAGAGAAGAATATCATGTTTGTTAAGGTGGAGGATCAGAGTAAAAGAGGAAGACCCCAACGAGATGGACTGGCCAAGTGGCAGCATCAATAGGCTCAAGTGTGGCAACAATAGTGAGGTTGGCCCAGGATCAGGCAGTGTTTCGTTCTGCTGTGAATAGGGTGGCTATGACTCGATGGTACCTAACAACAACAATAATATAAATGTTAGGTGCCGTGGAGTTGGTTCTAGCAATCCAGTGCTTATACTATACTGCCATCCCATGTAGGACTCCTTGTGTGGTGTTGTGGGTTAATGTGCCAGACTGTAAAGCTGTTTCAACTGCAAGGTCGGCAGTTCAAGCTCACTAGCTGCTCCTTGGAAACCCTATACAGGGTCACTATGGGTCAGAATCGACTCAATGGCATTTAACAACAACAATATATAAATGTTATATGAGATATAAAGTGGGCAAAGGCATCGTTAAGTAGTAAGGGACTGCTAAATCTTTAAATAGTCTCCTGAGTAATAAGATTAGGAACAAAATTTTATTTAGATTATTATTTTATAACTCAAAATTATAAAATTTTTAAGATAGTATAAATTTACTCTGACATGTTCTTTTCCAAAATAATTCATGTATTTAAAATTATATTCCTGGTTAGGTAAAGAGGACACATTACACTAATATTTTTATAATATTGTCTTTTGCTGGTTACCTCTCTTGATAAACAGAGCTGACCCTTAAACAATGCAGGTTTGAACTGTGTGTAAGATCCAGTTATAAGTGGATTTTTAAATAATTGTGTGACATTAATCATCTTTGCATGAACTGTTTGTCTCTCCTGTAGACTGTGTATCAGTGTAAAGAGTAATTTCATAGCTCTTGCATATTTTGCATCGTATTTAGTGCAATGCTTTCAACCTTGAAGAACACCATGGGACTCATACACCGTGTCACTAGTGTTACTGAAAGTGCTTCCAAGAAACAGAGAAAAGCCTTGATACTGCAATATTACAAAAAAAAGTTGAACTACTTAATATGCCCCATAGATTGAGATCTACAGCTATGGTTGCTCACCAATTCAAGATAAATGAATTCAGTAAAACACCATTAAAAAAAAGGAAATCTGTGATGCTATCACTATAGCGACACTAGCAGGTGTAATTTTTTTTGCAGTTCTTATTAAATTTTTTTTTAGCTAACATTAAAATGCAGGATTTATCTGGATACAGTATATAATATGTGTAACATGCAAAATATCTGTTAATTGACTCTTTACGCTATCATTAAGGTTTCAGTAGGCTATTAGTAGTTAAATTTGGGGGGATCCAAAAGCTACATGTGGATTTTCAACTGCACGTGGGGGATGGGGGAGGTTGGGGTCCAGAATTCCATGTTGTTCAAGAGTTCTAATGAAATTATAACCCACAAAGCTAACAACAACAAAAATGTTGGTATTATAGTCACTATACATAAATGGTAAAGAGGTACTACTACTTTAGTAAAAGAAAAGAATGTTTTGAATATGTTGGTTTTTACCTAATTCAGTGTATTATTATGTCAGAGTTAGAAATATGTAAGAACATGTAAATTATCAAACTATTTCAAGAAATGGAAAGGAAATCAAATAAATTCTCCAATTTCATTATTTATAGTTTTGTACTAATAAAACCGAGTAATAGACTATCTTTCTATAATTTAATTTAAATTCTGAATTTCTAAGAACTCCCTTTGGACACTCTCAAAACCTAAGTAAAATTGAAGTTTTATGAAATTTTAATAATATATGTATATTTTTCTCAAAGCATTTAAAAAGTATTAGTAACATTTTTAATTCACATGAATATTTCCTGTTATCATCAATGATAAAGCTGAAGACACAAATCTCAAGTCATTAGGATTCTTCATAATTGCTAGAACTTGAAGCCCCATATACAAAATTTCACGAAGGCAGACAGCTCCCTTTGAGAAATAGACAATAGTAATATATACTACTAATTGTATTTCACATATCACAATAGTCCCAAATGACGCACAATAAAGTATAGATTTGCTTTAAAAAATATTTATAGACGGAATAGTTTTGGTACAGAAATATTATGCTTTCTTCAAAATTCAGAAGATAAAAAAGAATACCTTCTAATGTTGCCAAAATCTGTCATTTTTTTTAAAGCATGTATAAAATAAAAGTGTTCTTTGAAAATGTCTACAGTGTAAAAATATTTTTTTCTTGGTTTATGGGTTAAATATAAGGTATTCCTACCTTTTGATGTTTAAAGTCATTATACTTTTTATTGGCCTGCTTTTTGGTACACCTGGTAGATGAAAAATCTTATTAGCCTTGTTAGGTTGTCTTAACAGTTTAGCCACATAAGGGTCAACAGAATGTGCAGGGTAAGGGTCAAAGGTTCCAGCCTTCATTCCACCAGCCTGCAAAGAAAAATGAAACAACACTATAAGGCATACTCACCATGAAACTGTCAATCATTCATGAACAAAAGAACAATATTTCTCTAAGGACAAAGTTTAGAAGGGTTGGGAAGGAGAGTGGAATAGAAATAAGAACCACAGGGAGGGAGTGGGATAACTATTGTTAAATGGAAGGAATTGCAATCATTGAGATGAAACAAAGTGTATGATTTGTTGAATGTAAAACTGGTAATCTGCACTGTAGACCTTCACTCAATTCACAATAAAAAGTTTGTTTTGTTTTTTAAGTATAATGTGTTTTGTTGTTGTTAAGTGAGCTTATTTCCGACTTAGTGACCCTGTATAGGGTTTCCAAGGAGTGGCTGGTGAGTCTGACCCCCCAACCATGTGGTGTAAACTGACCTTGCAGTCCAGTGCTTTATCCCACAGTGCCATACTAGTCTACAAATGTGTATAGAAAGGTAGTATTCTGAACTATTCCCAAGCATTAATATTTTAGTGACAGTTTATCAGATCAGGCTATCTCCTACGTGGGTATGTGTCATTAAGTCAGTTCCGACTCATAGTGACCCTATAAAAGGTTCCCAAGGAGCAGTTGGTAGATTTGAAAGACTGATCTTGTAGTTTGCAGGCCATTCCTGATCTTACAGTGCCACATTAGGAGTGGTGGGCTTATTACTACAGGAATGAAATGCAGTGGTCAGATATACTTTGATAGGCAAAGGAATTAGGGTTCAGAACTATTATTGTTAAAGTCATTTTTGACTCATAACGACCCAGTATAGGTCTTCCAGGGAGTGGCTGGTGAGTTTGAACTACCAAACGTGTGGTTCAAACTGACCTTGCTGTCCAGTTCTTTATCCCATAGTGCCACACCAGGACCCCAGGATCAGAACTAGAAGGTGGGAGAAGGGACTAACGTGCTTGTTGTTGTTGTTAAGTGCCATTGAGTCAGTTCCAATTCATAGCGACCCTGTACAGGGTTTCTGAGGAGCAGCTGGTGGGTTAGAAGTGTCAACTTTGCAGTTAGCCGTCTAGTGCTTATCCTACAGTACCATGTCAGGGCTCCATACAGGGAGCCTGAAGTCACGTGACTTTACTAGATGTCAGTCAATGATAGGACAGGTAAAAAACAAAAAGGAATAGCATATAAAAAAGGTAAGAAGAGAGGAAAATGTGATCTACTTAATACTTTCCATGTAGTTTATTAAGAGAAATAAAAATATTCAACAACCTATGCATGAAACAAGGGGCCCTGGTAGCATAGTAGATTAGAAGCTGGACAGCTAATTGTAAATTCAGAAGTTAAAAGCTACCAGTTGCTTCCTGGGAGAAAGATAAGGTTTTCTAAGGCCATACAGATTTGCAGACTTGGAAAACCCTATACAGTGTTGGTATGAGTTAGAATTGACTCAGTGGCACACAATCACCACCATCCACAAAATGAACAAATACTTACTTTGACTTTTTTTTTTTTTTTTTTTTTTAAGGTTTTTATGGTGGATTGAGTAAAAGTTTACAGGGCAGACCATCCGTTTTACATTCAACAAATCATACACCTTGTTTCATTACAATGATTATCATCTTTCTTCCATTTACTTTTCAATCTCTGTCTGCTTGTTGATTGTTGTCATTAAGTGTCGTTAAGTCTGTTCTGACTCATAGCCACCCTGTATAGGGTTTCTGAGGAGCAGCTAGTGAATTTGAAAAGCTGATCTTGTATTCTAAATTGCATTTTCTGATAGTGCCACACCATATATATAGTCACCAAGAAAATCTATGCAATCATCAATCATTTAACTAGGCAATCTTTCTCTTATTGCATGCCTATAACTGATTGAAATACCTAAAAAGGGTTCTAGAACTTGCTGAGTGAAAGAGGCTTCTTGCGGAGCCTTTGTAGTGTATAAGACCTTCGGTGGAATACTGATCCCCATCCAGAATCTTCTGAAGTGGAAAATTTCCACTTGAAAAGACAAGCAGACCAGCCTAGAGCAGCTAGAGGAACAGAAGATACTTCTTGAAAGAAAGACCAGCAGGAAAAATAAAAAACAAAATGGCAGTCTGATTACCACAAGAACAAGCAAGTTGTCCATAGGGGAGCCATCAAGGCAAGCAATCAAGTCCCTTCAGGGCAAACCCCTTTCCAAGACTGAAACTCAAAGGGCATACACGAGCAGGCATGTAATCTTGCTGGCAACCACGTTGGTCTACTGATGAGTGGAAGTGTGGGGAAAGCAGCAATGAAGATGTGGGCTGAGTCCGGCCACATTACATAGACTCCCGTCAACCTGGAGTATGGTGAGGCCTGATTGACCAGCAGTATGGTGAGGCCTGAGCTCATGGACAAAGACATAGCCACAGAGGGCTAGAGCTCAGAGTGAAGTGTCCAGCTGATATGAAGTGAGGGGAGATGCAAAAGAATGCCCATACTTGCAGCTAGTACCCATTTGGCCTAGTTCAATGGATGGATGATCAGAACTTGACTAAAGGAAGAAAAAAAAAATTGTTTTATAATAAAGAAAACAAATGTAATTCACCACAATTTGATGAGCTTGACCTATACTTATGGATATAGTAGCTTAAAATGCCAACCAATCGAGAAGAAATCTTCACAGCAAGGATCATTGCCATCCCCTTTGTACACAGGGTTGATAGGGATAGGCAACTTAGACATTGGCTACCTACAATGGTGGTGGGGGGACTGCTATAAAGGCACAAAGTGACTGGCTTACAAATTTTCAAGAGGGAATTTAGTTTCAGAGGGTGCAGGGGAAGGTAAAATCTCCACTAAGCAGTTTTCATCCTGTCTAGATGGGGCTGGTGAAAGGAGATGTGGAAAAGATCCTTGTGGTTCAATAGTAAGTAATTGTTATCAAGATTGCGATTGTTGTAACTGTAAAGTTAGAAGTTTTGTAGCAAAAAAGAGGAGTGGTTGATCTTGCTGCCCAGGAGCAGGGGACCCTGGGACCATCAAGGGAGAAGAGCGGGAGCAGAGTGTGGGACCCTATTTAGAGAAGCAGCAATGCCAGAGATGGAGACAGAGACAATGATGTGGAGAGATGGAGCAGGCAGGGATTCTAGACTTATGCAGGGAGAGGGGTTGTGTACTGGCAGCCAGGGGGCAGGCTTGCAGGCTTGTGTATCTGAGTGTTTTGGTGTACATCCAAACAAACAACAACAAAAAAAAAACAAAAAAAAAAAAACAGAGGGAACAGAAGCAAATTCTGTTGAATGATGATGCATGGAGGGGATTGTAATCATTGCAATGAAATGAAATACGATAGGATGAGTGTAAAGTTGATGTTCTCCCATGTAAACTATCACTCAATTCACAATAAAAATTTAAAAAGCAAACAAAAAAAAGGACATGGGATACAAAAAAAAAAAAAAAAAAAAAGAGAGTAATCATACTTAAAATTATTGAAACAAAAATATTTAAAT